GCTGCTTTAAAGGACACTTAAATACTCCCAGATTTTAAACCTAAAGGCTGTATACAAAGGTACAGGGTATCAGTCTGTTTAGATTCTGTAACTTAAAGTTCACATTCACCATTGACACCAAAGCAAAACTTCACTCAGTACAAACATGATAAACACAACTGAAGCTAGCTTATAAAAAAAAATATTATCATAGAAAAGGTTAAAACAAAAAACAAAAAACAATAAAAAAAATTAACTCTGAACAGCCATTTCTTGTTATGCAAGGGAACAGAAGTCATCCAAACCACTGAAAAATGATGACAGGAAGTCAAAACCACCTCTCAGATTACGAAGTCCTGGTGTTACTTCACCTTTTCTAATCCTCTCAATTTTGCATCAGTCTAATATGTATTTATTGTAATGCACTGGGTTTAAATTTTTCTCTTGCATTCTCCCCAACAGCTATGGTGACATTCTTCAGTAGCCACCAAAGGGCTTGCTTCAAAAGAAATACTATTTTGAATAGTGCAAGTATCAAAAACTACTACCACTCCCTGTCTTGATTAATAATCACAGAACAGCCCTGGTTGTTCTCACTTTTGGCCTGCACCAAATACAAGCTAACAAGTGGATTTCACATTTTTTATTCCACTTGTTTTTATCTCTGACTCCAATACTTGTTGATTTTTGTCAACACTGGATCCCCTTGTTAGAAAATGCATCTCAGTTATCCAAAAAGCATGCAAAGTCAGGTGGTAACACCTTTAATTGCAGGGCTAAATAGACAAATCTTATCCATATAACATGGTAGGCAAAACTGCAGTATTTTCTCCCATGAAGGTCTTTCAAAGCTGGGGCATATTTCATTTGGACTCAAAGAGTTTGTTGATACATCAGAAATTCTATACCAAGCCACAGCAAAACTGTATCTGTCCCAGTGTCTAGTTTCCAATAGCAGTTTTCCATAAGTACCTGCTACCTAAGTATTAGAAATTGGTCATGTAGATAACTGTCCTTCCCTGACAGATACTTCCAGCAATCTGCAGCTCAGATGATTTATTAATTTATGTGCCTTTTATTACACATATTTTGCAATGACCTAGCACGCACAGGACAGGAAACTAAAACCTGAAAAAAACATCAACAGCAAGACAGGCTAAGTCCATTATCTTATTAGCATGAAAACTGACAAAGAACATAAAAACACAACAAGAAATATTATCTAGACATTTCCTTTTATTAAGACACTGAAACAGTTTAATGTACAAATGCTTTGTGTTAGTTGTAAATATTTCCTCTGTTTAAGCAGCATTTACAGCTCATGTACATTTCTCGAGTCATCTTAAGATGCAAGACACTTCTGCGGTAGCAACTTCATAGATCAGTGAATGCCAACACTCGACAACCTTGTTTAAAATAATAAAGTCCAGATGGAGTGACAGAAAGGAGACAGTACACCATTCTGTGCAGTGACTGGGATCATATTTCAAAAGTGGAAAAAAAAAAAACAAAGTTATTCAGCCATACCTCTTTCTTTCTTAATAGTCTCCTTATGCATTTCACCTCCTGTTGAAAAATAATGACTACTACAATAAACAGAAAAGGTATTTGTAAGTTTTCCTATAAAAACAATGAACCTACACAAACAACAATTATTTTTAAATATTCAAGGAAAATAGATCTCTGTTTAAAAAAAGAATATATATATCTCATGTAGACGTGTTTCTTCAAGCCAAAATATCTTCAAAATATAAATACTTTCCAGTGCATCCCAGTCCCCACATATTGCAAACAACTGCTTTCATCTGGACAATTTCAACAAATAGCCACCTTATTACACTTAAAATGCATTCCTTTTCAACTACCAGATACAAATCTTCAGTAAAAAAAAATTAACATTTATTTTTGATCACTGTTTATTATCCTGATGCTTCCACTTAGCTGAAACTCCATTCAGAACACTTGGCAGGTCAAAATACATAAATACGTTGAATTAAAATTAAGAATACAGATACTTATTTTCAATAGAAACTTCGAAGTTCAAAATAAGGCCTTTAAGTGTTTGATTCTTTTCACAGTATACTGCTGAATAGCTTTCCACTTATTTACAAAGACCCCAGCCTTGCTCCCACATCCAAGAAATGGATTAAAAAGTCCTGCTTCATCTAAACATAACCACAAAGCAAATAAAACAGGCTTGTTCATATATTTATCAGCCTAGAGCACTGAGAACTTAAGCACCTTAACAGGCTTCTGATTTTTTAATGTCAGAAGTTTAACCAGAATCACCTGCCGTCTCCCTAACCCTAAACAACTTTTTTCCCCAGAGTCATCCTTCCCTTCATCTGCTTGCTATGTCAAAGGCATCTATCAAAAAAGCCAAAATGAAGAGGGCCAGACGTGCTTAAACTGACCAGGGACATCTCTCTCCACCAGATACATCTCATAAGCGTCTTAATTCTCACAGAGATCAAGTATATAACCCGTCAGCAAAGCACACATTGTAACCGTACTTCAACTGCTATCAACCACAGGTGTTCACTTTAGTGTGATCTAAGTGCTTATTTTCTATACACTTGTAAACAAGAAAAATGGACAATGTTTTAATGCTGGGTGTTTGCCAAATGAATCAGATGATAGTAGCTCTTAGCAACATACTTGAACTTTTGTTTCATCAGAACCAGTTAGTCACAGCCTTGAAATTGACAGAATTCCACTCTGCTTCCTGTCAATTTAGGTGTTATTGCTTAATTTTAAAGGAAAAAAAATAAACAAAACCAAAAGGAACAAAACAAACCCATGTATCTAAAGATTGTTGCTAGTTCTCAAAAGTGCAACAAAAAAACTTCCCCCATTTGCAGACAACCCAAAACAAAATGGAAGAAGCGAACACATTCTGCCACCTAGTATTTCAGTGCTAACTGGTGATTTGCTTGCGTTCACATTACCTTGAACATCAAAACCTTTTATTATGCTGCACTGGAATCCAAGTTCTTCATTTGTTCCCAGCTTATGCATCAAAGGCTTGACTTTACGTGAATATTCAGGTTTCAATTATCACACCAAAAATGGCTCACAAATTCAATACTGTGAGGTTGGTGAGGGACTGGAACAGGCTGCCCAGAAAAGCTGTAGATGCCCCACCCCTGGAGGTGTTCAAGGCCAGGTTGGACAAGGCTTCGAGCGACCTGGTCTAGTGGGAGGTGACCCTGCCCACAGCAGGGGGGTTGGAACTATATGATCTTTAAGTTCCCTTCCAATCCAAACCATTCTGTGATTCTGTGATTCTATATCGATAATTTTTAACTTCCACTTCTCAAAGTCTCGGAGGTTCTTGAGAAAGTTGATTGTTCTGCACTTTGGATCCAGTCTGTAAAATGGAAATCAGCTTCCTTCCCCACATTTTATCTCTTTTAAACTGTTGGCTTCTCACAGGCTTTTACTCACAGTTAATAGAGAAAAATGTAAATGTCACTGAAATAGGAATACCCTTTCATATCGGTATGAAGGTTTCTCTACATTGCACAGATAATGATTTGACTCTTTCAAATGGTCAAGTAACAATCCCAAAAGTGCCCCAACACAACCTTAGCTGGTTTATCTGAATCTACGCAGGTGAGAAGTTTTGAAAGTCAGTGCAGAGACAGCCACTATGAACTGAAGGTGGCAACATAGACCATACTCATCTGATGCAGAATATTCAAAAAAATATGGTTGATCATGCTACCAAATCTAATTATATGATAAGTAAAAATCTGAATCAAATATGATTAACTTTTTATTTAAACAACGTTTCTCAAAAATAGTCCTGCAGTCCTTGTACAAGGACACAGAAGTACAAAACAACTCCAAATACAGATCACGCAGAATGAAAAAAAAAAGGGGTATTCTGAAAAGTAAAATTCTGAAATACATAGCTATAGTTTTTATTTTATAAAAAGGTAAAGCTTACTGCCATCCTTCCTTAGCAGTTTCCTCTGATTGGTGTAATGTGTCCATATGTGTAATGTCCACCTGTGGTTACCGAAAATCCCAACAGCATAAACTCCAAATATCACTAATTATATGGGAATTTTATGTGCATGTATTGAGTTGTATGAGTTGTATTTCAGTAGTACTTGTACCATCTAAACTCTTATTAGCTATCTGTGAGTCTTCCTCTCTAAGGTATAGCTGTCTAGAGATAAAGCAGCACACACCATTTTAGCGCTTCCAAGTAGTTTGACTAAGCCAGTATTTAGTTGCTGATTCAAAACCTTGGTTAATTCTTCATGTTGCTTATGACTCCTCTTCCAGACTGGTGCAAAGTCGCCCTGACTGAACATACTATAATAGAATTACATCACTTTCACAATTCAGAGGTTTCAGTTTAGATGTTTTAAAGTTAATAATATGAAAAACCTCACCCATAATATCAAACATGCGTATAATTACATATGAAATGCAGGAAGCAAATAGTATTTAATATGAACTTACCAGTTAGATAATGGAATTCTTTGTCCAGGTATTCTTAAAAACTGGCTTCCAAAAATGGTTAGAGAAAGATATAAACAAAAAAGAACAGAAGTTGCTCCTGTAATTCAACAATAAATGACACGATATAGAACAAAAGTATATCTTACCATGTTATTTTCTCCCTTTTGGCAGTATTAGGAACAGCCTATCTTAATTTGGGGGGGGATAATTCCTTGGAATTTATTTGAAGTTCCTACATTCTGAGAATATGCAGAGTAAACAATATATTTTAGATATGTTTGGGGAAAACTGAATGCTCATATACATTTTTGAAAAACTTTAAAGGGTTTGAAGAAATAAATTTAAAACTTTTTAAGATGCAACTTATGAAAGAGTCCTGTATGCAGAAGTGACATCCCATTTTAAGGAATGCTAGTAAATGTTAGAGTTTGAGTTGCAAGTACACTGCATCATTCACCAGTTCCAAAATTCACCATTCTTCCCCTCACTGCATTTGTACCATTCTGGAACAACCTTGTTACTCAGTCAGGTTTCAATGCCATCAGTGGAAGAACTTGAATATCTGAAGTGAAGTCATTGTACAGTGTAAATGATCCTGATAATTTGGGGAAAGAGGAATCCAAAACAGAAGTCTAGTTCAATAGAGACCGTGCAGCTTCCTTAAGAAGTGATGTAGCTTTGTCCAGTTCTTGTTCAGTTTGTTCCACTGTTATCACTACTCGAATACTAGAAAAAGAAAACCAGAAAATATGCAGTAAACTTTACTCCTTGCCTTCAGCTTTAGACTTTTCTTGTACTAACTTAATATATTAAAGATCACAATCTCTAGGGAAATTATTATGAATTCAAATTCAACCAGAAACAAGACATATGACTAAAGAGAAATCATCGGACTACTTTTTTTCTCCTCATACACACCACAAAAATTTTATTATTACATTTTTCACCTGCAGATGTGCAGCTCACGTGCTGATCACTGAGATACATGTAGCTTGGATACAATTATTTCAGGGTATTAGCATCCTGTAACAGTCACTGAAAATATACTTCAAAATAGAGCCTTTCCCATTTTTTACAGGACCAACTATTCAATCCAGTCTACTCGATAAAATCCCAGAAGAGAGAGTCATATCCAATAAAATGAAATAATGTATTGACTTTTTACTAACCTGGGTGGAGGAAGACATTTTTCTTCTTTCTCCAGATAGCGGGCCTGAGTTAACGCAATACCACTATTCATACACTACAGATAAAGGAAATAAAGCAATTGTCAATCTGGGAATTTGTGATGCCATATTATTTTGATCACCAAATACATAGAACTAACTTTTTTGAATTTGGTGACAGGATAACAAAGTTCTTTCGCAAATTGAGGTTGTGAAGGTTATGCAAAATCATCTCTAATTTTAATACAGCATAAATACATAAAACAGGTTAGGGTGTAGCTCCTTTAGCTTTCACCTCCAAATAATCAGAGGAAAATGGTGCATTAAGCAGGCTATTAAATATTTAAGCATATTTTCAGTGAAATTAACTTCAGAGTTTCTATTTTTGGTATAGTCTTGTTTACCTGCCACCTGAAATATAAAACTATCTCATCATCTTTCATTTCCTTCATCTGGGAGAAAGAGAACCAACGTGTACTGAAGATGGAAAAAATACTACATACAAAACATGAGATTCTTCACACAAAAAAGCACATTCATGGACTCAAACAAGCAAAAATTACAGAAAGCTAGACCGCAAATGGTTAAAATACATCACCACAACTCTGTTCAAACGATACCCTTTATTCTCATGAATATCATAATTTCTCATGAAAATCATCAAGTTTTTAAGCAAGTTTTATATGCAAATTTAACTTGAGTTTTGAAGTATGTAACAGGAAATAATTTTCTGAAGTAAAATAATATATGCTTTTATCCAGTGCTACAGACTAACTAAACATCTGCAGCAAGAAATGGTTAGAAGATGGTCTTTAATATAGGCTTATTTATAGTCAGCAAAGAAATGGAGCTTCTTTCAGCATTC